GGGGGTGAATTCCGCAGTTGTCTTGTGTTGATTGTCTAGGATCTCAAATTGAGCTTTCATTGTGGTCTATTACAATAATAATTATATTATTGAATATCACCGCAGCGTATTTTGCCTGTCGAGCATTTTACTACCTAACTGCGATTTTTTCAGGGAATGGTTACCCGCTTTTGTCTGGGAGTCGTTTCATACTTTTCTCAGGAGCCTGATTACATTTTTTTTCTTCTGTAAATTGTTACATGATACAGAATGCATGGTGATATCATTTTTTTAAAAGCAATAGCTATTATCTGCTATTTCATAAGCAAAGGAGAAAGGATCAGACAGATTCAACAGTTTAAATATCTCGGATATATGATATTATAATAACACATGATGCAAATGTTCCACAGAAGTTAAAAAAAAAGAAAAAAAAAAGAATCACAATGCCTAAGGATAGTTCCAATAAATTGAGTCCAATCCTGAAAAATACAAGCATCTCAATGACTACCAAAAATGAACATTCTGAAAAGCTACGGTCAACCTTTCTATGTGGCCGGCTGCGAATGCTGGATAGTCACTAAAGACAGTGAAAATAAAATAGAAGCAACAGAAATGTGGTATCTTAGGAGACTGCTGAGAATATCTTGGGAGGAAAAGAAATCAAATGAGGTAGTGCTTGAAGAAGCCCGCGTGGGCCGCTCGCTGATAAAAACAACCAGAAAAAGACAAATATGCAATTTTTGGGACACCTAAATAGACATACATGAATATCTAGCTCTCACTGGCAAAATTGAAGGCAAACGATGCAGAGGGGGGCCCAGAGCAACCTACTTGGAGAACCTAAACAGATGGGTGACAGGGAAAGATCAGGGTAAGGTAGCTTTTCTTTTCAGAGCATCCGAACGAAGAAATGAATGGAGGTCCATGATTCCCGAAGTCTGTCGCAGATCAGGCACTTGATGATGATGGTTACACGATTTTATCAGGGAATTGTCAATCCCTTCATTGCTATGTAGGCGTATCAGTTTGCTTTTGTTCTCCAAATTGATTAACAGCCATTTGTTTCCACTGGTATGTAGACGTTTATTGGCTGTAATTACAACTTTTGTAGTTGCTTTTTTTTAAATAAGCGTAAATATATATTGGGTTTTATTTCAGGCTCTCTTGAACGAACTTTAATTAAACGTGTCTGTACAAACGTAGATGGAAATGTCGCTGCAATAAAGGGGTTAAAGATTGTTTTGTCTTTCGACAGCAGCAAACCGCAGATCCCTTCGTTTTACTTTCCTCATTCAAAAAACTGAAAAACATTCTATACATTGGAGCTTTCAATGATGTCCAGTTGTAAATACGTGCTATGCAGCTGCAAGTGGGTGGTTAGAGGGCGATACTGGTAAACCCCACTTCATTACTTTCCCTGTGTTGTTTCTTTTTTTCTTTCTAACGTTGTAACAGGACTAAATGACCATCATTAACTCAATGTGTTTCTCTTTGCTCAAACAAGACCTCTGTAAATCAAATGTGAGACAGCGTGGTGGAATCAGGCTCTCGTCAAAATAATAAAAGTGAAGAAACCTGCATTTTTCCGTAGATTTGTGAATTTTTATCAAATTTGTGTTTTTTGGCTCAACACCTTTCATGACCATTAAAAAATTCATTTCTGTGTGGATTTTTATGATAATCGTTGATTAAAGGCACAAAAAATGTAAATTTTCAGTTACCAAGGACTCTTAAGCTGAGGAAATAACTACCTTTGGCGGCAATTTTCTCACTAATTTTACCTCTGAAAACAAGTGACCCCATCTCCTTCTTTCACAAATATCTCCACTTGTACTCAACATAAATGGATATTTTTTTCATCCAAATAAAGACAAGTGAACAAGATTTAAGATGATACCATTAACTCTACATGCCAAAAACTTGACAAGAGCCTGATTCTATCACGCTGCCTCACAAATTTTCTCTCTGACACAATTTCATTCTTCTTCTATAAGTTTCTCAGTAGAATTTATTCCTCCCGTTCTTTTCCACACAGTGTCTTGAGATCAAGTCAATGAAAGAGGAAAACATCTGCCTTAAAACCAAGGTCCGCTCCTTAGAAGGCTTACAGCTGGAGAGGGACGAACTTCTACGTCAGTTGGAAGCAGCAAAAGAGGATGTCCTGAGAGAGCAGCGAGCTTTCCGTGTCCACAGGGCGGAGCTACAAGAGGTAAGCATTCCCGTCTCCTAGAGGGTAATATAATCGTGGTAATTTCGCCTGTTTTATCTGTCCGTTGGTCGGGAAATGTTCTAAGAATGCCGAAGACAAGAGTTCCCTATCAGACATGGTAATGGAGACCAACTAAAAAAAGAAACAGAGGTAAACCAATTGGAGGCTACAGCGACACAATTAGTGATGAGGCAATCGCCTAAGGCCTGGATGGGCCGATATTGAAGAACATAGCCAGGAGCAGGCAAGCGTGACGTCGACTGCTCTCCGCCCTATGTACCTGACGGTAGAGGGAGAGAGTAAGTAAGTTTGTTGGGAAATAATAAAGAGAAAGGAGTAAAAGTGTGTTTTGAAGTGGGTAAAAGGCAGTGGCGGTGGATTGGATATACCTTGAGGAAGCCAGGCACCTGCATAACAAAGAGAGTGTTGGATTGGAATCCTCTGGAGAAACGGAAATAACACTTTCCCTGGGCCTGCATCTGTCGAATGTCGACTTAATTATAGAGGAATGGTGACCCCCCAGGTCGTGTTCTCCAAAACCTTCGTGAAAAAATGAAAGGGGCAAAACAAGGCGGGGGGGTGGCGAAA